GTCAGGGTGGAGCCCCGCCTAGAATCCCCAGTGAGGGGCTGGGGGCGTGGTCGGAATCTACTAGTAAAATTAAGAAGATTGCACAGGGCACAAGCCCTGGCCATGGGTTGAGCTCTGTGGGCAGGAAGGCTGTGTCCTATAAAAAATGGAGCTTAGGGCCCCAAGAGGAAGGCCGGGATGGCAATGAGGACTCTGGGTCAGCTCTCTATTTATTAGCGTCACTCTTTGAGGGAGAAGTGCATCTTGTCACCGATCATCTTGCGCTCAGGGTTGAGGCGCTTGAGGATCTGGGCCAGCACATTCACGGTCTGCTCGCTGCTCAGCCCTGTCTTCTTGGTCTGGAACTTTTTCAACAGGTCTTTTGTGGTCATGGGCTTGCGGGTCAGGTAGCGGCGCACAGCATCCTCTGTCACCTGGACATCACTGTGGGGGGTGGAGGGAGAGGCTCTGGTCATAAAAGAGTCCCTTGGGGCCAAGTCCCGCCTGTGGTCCTACTCGGGTCTGAACCTACCCGCTGCTGGGGGTGGACTTCCCAGACAGGCTCTGGGGGGCCGTGTCCATCCGCAGGCGCTTGGCTGCTGGAGTCTCAGCGGTCCGCTTCCCTGGTGGAGAGACTAATGTCAGGTGTGTGTGCAGGAGGGGGCGCAGATGGGGCATCTGGTGTGGAGGATGGATACGGGCGGGCGGACAGCGGCTCTCAGTGTCTCCCCAGGGCGGCCCCTCCCAGCACTCACCCTGCTCCAGCTTGCTGGCTGCAGCCCGCAGAGTGGAAGAGGTGCTGGCTGCTTCCACACTGGGCGTTCCTGGCCGACTGGTGCCCTTAGAACTGCCCCCTGATGGCTTCCGCTCCCTCTTGGGGGGGGTCTTCTTCTTCTGCAGAGATTGGGATGTGAGTCTGAGGGCCGGACCGCCACTCCCGCCCCAGCCGGTCGGCTCTGCCTTACCGCCATGAAGAGGGCAGAGGAGGTCTCGCTGTCAATGTCGCTGTCCTCAGAGCTGTCCGACTCATCGCTGCTGTCTGCAGGGCAGAGGAGGGGCGTAAGCGGAGACCCTAGAGCCCCGCTCCCCCCCACCGCCGTGAGCGAGAGAGACCCCACGAACCTTTCCGGCGTTTCTTCTCCTGTGGGGTGGGGGCCTTCTTCTCCTCCTCCTCCTCCTTGTCCTCCTCAGGGGGCTTCTCCTCCTCCTCACTCTCCTCGCTGCTCTCACTCTGCTCATCCACACCTGGGGACAGTGTGAGCAGGGCTGCCCAGTGGACCCCCCACACACACACACCCGGTCCCCAACTGACACCTACCCTTGGGGCCATCCTCCTGCTGCGGCACTTTGGGCTTGCCCTCTGTCTCATCTGGGGAGCTGCTGCGGGGCAGGCATGGGCAAACGTGAAGATGGCTGACCACAGGCCCACCCGCGCCCTGCCCGCCCCGCGCCTGCCCCGCGCCCCACCTGGAGCCGTCTGACATGTAGTCCACCTCCTGGCCCTCGAAGTCCCCGTCGTCGCTGTCCTCAAAGGCCTCGTCATCCGAGTCCTTCTTCTTCTTCTTCTTCCTGCCTGCCTTGGTCAGTGGGGCCTTCTTCTTAGCCTTGGAGGCTCTGCTGCCTGTGAAGGGAAAGAAGATTTAGGGGGGCTCAGACTGGATAAGCACTGCTCACAGCTAGGTGGGGGCTCCACCTCAACCATGTCACCAGCCCGCCTTGGATCACCGTGTTGTGTGGAGTCTGGGGAAGAGCTCTCCATCCCTAAGTCATCCAACTAACCCCTTTTTGGATAGAGTGTGTGTGTGTGTGTGTGTGTGTGTGTGTGTGTGTGTGTGTGTGTGTGTGTGTGTGTGTGTGGAGGTGGATTGAGACAGGGTTTCTGTGTGTAGCCCTGGGTGTCCTGGAACCTTAACTCAGAGATCCGCCTGCCTCTGCCTCCCAGTGCTGGGATTAAAGGTGTGCCCTTTGTTTAAGATGGGGTCCATGTAGCCAGGCAGGGCTGGCTGTGAACTCTGGATCCTCTTGCCTCGGGCCTGAGGTCTGGGATTGTGGCCTGTACACCACGTGTGGAGTGTCTTTATGTGTCATGTGCCCTGACAAGGAGACCGCACCCCATGCTAGGCCAGTTCGTAGAGGAAGGAGAAGGCTAGCCCGGGCACTTATCCCTCCTGCCCCACAGCACCCCTGGAACACTCAAACTGAACCCACGGAAATCCTGTCACGGTGCCATTC